CATTCTCGGTCCAGGATACATGTCGACTTCGCTGGCCCAATAAATGGAACTATGTATTTAATTGTCGTCGACGCCTTCTCGAAATGGCCGGAAATCAGCCCTGTTATGCCGCCCACTACAACTAAGACTATACAGCTCTCAATTCACCTCTTCCCAATTCCAGACTTTCTGTCAACGGCTAGCCATCAAACACTTACGCTCGCCACCATACCACCCGCAATCGAATGGGCAGGCGGAAAGGTTTGTGGATACGTTTAAAAGAGCACTGCTTAAGTCAGAAGGGGAGGGGACGCCAGCCGAAGCCTTACAAAATTTCTTGTGCGTCTATCGGACAACACCAAATGAATTGTTACCGGAGCAAAAGTCCCCAGCTGAAATCCTGATGGCAAGAAGACTGAAAACGATCCACAGCCTGATGCATCCGGCTAATGCACCCTCATCAGTAGAGACAAAGCAGCAAAGACAATCCGCTTACGAATTGGGATGCCCTGTGTTTGCCCGCGACTACAGAACGAACCATGGTCCTTGGGCAGAAGCGAGAGTGGTCAGAAGGGTTGGTCGAGTTATGTACGAAGTAGAGGTAGGAGGTGATAAATGGTCACGTCATCTGAATCAGATACGCAGACGGCTAGCCCCAGATCGCCCATCAAGAGCAGAAAGCCTTCCTCTTGACATCTTGCTTGATACCTTCAACCTACCGAGAGCCCCGCCACGAGAAGAAGACTCAGTAGCAAGCTGTTCTTCGTTCCCGAAGGTATCCCCTCAGACAGCAGCGAACAATATTCAAGATGCAAGTCGACCCCAGCAGAACACGCTATTAAAAGGGGAGGAGTGTTGGGTATGTTAGATCCCCGAAATTCGCTTGATAATGCCTCATTTTGGTTTTCACGTTCGGCAGCATTGGCTGATCAGATGACCTTGAGATTTCAATTCCCACCAGGAGAATCCATGACTGTGATTGGCTGCTGTGTATTTTAGTGTGCTATTTTCTTAACTGTCTCAAGGACGTTCCTATGTTGTATAAATAAACGAGAGTTGTATGCTTGATTGTACTGTGATTGCTGGGTGTTTGTAGAATACACTTCTACGCTTACAAAGCCTTTTATTTCGACTTTGGGTATTCAAGGTAGCTTACCTGGACGCTGGTAAAGGTCTCGTTCGCGTTTATCGACTAAGGTAAACTCGTAATAGCCTCAAGCATACTAAGTGACGAACCTATCAATATCCATGTTGTAGGGCGGGTAGGCGTACTGCTGTAAGTCCTACTCGTTCTTCCGGTGTAGATTAGGGGATGAGAGTGAACCCTAAATGAAGTACCAGAAAAGGATTGTTTTGCATGGAGGGATTTTGCAGGCCGGTGCAGAATCTATGTTGAATATTTGTTGTTGATTTCTTGTGATGCACATACTTGGATTATTGTTACCTATTTTGTCGGTGAAAAGAACCAAGGTTCTTTTGGTCGGGAGTGTTACGGGAGAAATGAAGGCATTTGGAGTTTGGAGTTTGGTTCTGTTGTTAATTTGAATTCGTGAATTGCAAATAGATCGACATACTGTACTTCAATAACGGGAAGGAGCAAAACTTGGACGTAACACTGATATGCCAAATTAAGATTGATAGATCTGTATAACAAAAGAATCTACTGAGAGGTTGTTTTTCGGAAAAATATCGTTAAACAAAGTATCCTAGAAAATACAGATCCTGATAGTGCATTAAAAGATAGTCAAGGGCGGTAGTTATAAAAATGCCCCCCAAGCCCAAGATTATATTGGCACTACAAACTGTGCTACTAAGAAAGACTGTAATACCAGACCCTTGCTGCTATTACAGCTTTCCCTCTCAAAAACCGCTGATTGCCCATTGGAGTTCCTGCGCAACCGTACAGATCACATGATGCGAGAATTAAACAGACTAGAGCTTAAATTCTAATTCTGGACTTTCGAGAACAAAAATCCACGGAACGTCCGAGCATCACCTATTTAAAAGCCCTATGTAATGACCAAATTACCAATGTTTGTTCTTAACTTAGAGCTGTTGAGCCAAAGTCTGTTCACTTATGTCAAAATGCATCCAAGGCTTTTCGATTGATTCATATGAAACTAAATCCAAACTCAAACTCTGTACTCAATTTAAACTATCCTAATTTAAGAGAGATAACGAATTATTTCAAAATTACAACAAGCCTTGAACGATACAACCTGCGTTCTACATTCAGAAAATTCTCTCACAATAAAGGTTAATTAAACAGAAAAGGAGATGGTGAATAAATGGGCATTCGGTAATACGAAATTCACAAGTTTTCTGAAGCAGATGATTTCTAAGTTCTGCCTACAATGGCTTCGAGCAACTAATTTCACCAGGAAGCGAACAGTCAATAATCATCCAAGGAGTCATGCCGTACCATCGAGTCTATTCAGAAACGACCTGCTTATCACAAGCTCGTTAAGACAAACATAATGTGTTCAGTCGTGCTTTTCAAATAGAAACTATCGACTGCCAGTATACAGACGCCGTTAGTTTACTGATCAAAATGTATTAGTTCTTTGAACTAAGAGACATAGGCAATAATCATCTGATTAAAATATCTGAAATATGAATGTAGTCTCAAGCAGCGGACCACCAGCTGGAGATACCAATCACGTCTTTCTTCTTTTGAGGCAACAAAACTGGAAGAAGGGGGAGAGGAGCTCTGTGTATACTGAACTTCTTGGAAGCGCATTAAGTGTAGACTCAAGGGTTTGTCACATTTGATAAACGTGGATGGCACTCAGTGAGATTATCTAACACTTCAAAATGTGTAGTTAAAGCCATCTAAAGAAGCTTGCTGTTGACATGGAGTACGAAACCGTTTTATTCCTCACGGTCACACTCATCCCAATCTCAGAAGACTTCAATCTTCCTAAATTCAGCTTGACCGAATACACGTGCAATGAAGACGATAACTCAAGTGGTGCTCAGTTTTCGAACCTCACTTAAAAATTACTATCATTTGAGGGTGTGAAGTTAGCGACTCGGTGGAAAATTATTCAAACACTATAGTGCTTGAACTATCTTCCTGAGTTAGAACTTCCTAATCGACAACCCCTCAATCCGGGCTGTCTTGAGATTTAGTGGTTATGCCATAGTAGCCTTCACTTTTATTATAGCAACTGAACTAAACCATTCTACTGACTCCAGGTGTTGGAGTTCCAGGGGGATCCATGTCTCATCTTTAAAAGACAATCCGCAGAAAGGGGACCGGGAGGTCCAACCTCAAATTATTCTTCACATTCCTAGGGATTTCTGATTGAAAAAATCCTGCGTGTTACGGACAAGAATGCCTTAAGAAAGGTCTACAAAATTTACAAGCCAACTATAGCCATAAATAATCAAACTATCGAAATAGCAAACTGTAAAAGGCAGCATAGGCAAGGACACTTATTTTCACCTGGACATGGCTCATCCAGCTATATCCAGAGAAGTGTTTCAATCTTGTCAACACCGCTTAGCGTACTATTCTCATATATTCTGAGTGATGCAAAGGTCTCAAAGATTTGGCAGCTGGCTCACATCACACCAATTTTCGGACTAGTTTGACACTATAGACCTTCAAACTGCCGGCTGGTAGTACTTCTTTCAATATCTGCAAAAGTCATGGAATCCTTGGTATATGATGGTCTATGAAATTACTATCCATGAACTTTTCGACCCTGCAACAGGGTTTTGGGAAGGGTATTTCATAAATAACCAATCAGCTGAATGCAATAGACATGTGGACACTGGTCTTCCATCACAATGGGGAGGTTCATATGATGTATCTTGACTTCTCGAAGGCCTCTGATATGGACATTCGCATATATCTCCAATAAGATCATGCTGTTAAACATCAAATGATTCATAATGAACGGAAAACCTCATGCTGGCAGAATTATGATATTATTATGTCTTAATCGAAATTTTAGAGTTGGGGTTGCCCAATTTTTTTTTCAGGCTACAGAATGCCCTAGTGGGGATCCTCATGGTTTATTACTAGGGTCAATTAACTTTTATGAATTGCATACATGTCCCAACTTATTAAGTAAAGTCTGGGTTATTACTTTTCGCCGATGTTGAACTTTGGAGAGAATTTTGTAGTCAAGATGACTAGTTGGAACTTCGGAAGGACCTGACTCTATTTTAAGGTTGGGCGAACAACAAAGGGCTTAGTTTAGATATTTCAAAGTGCTAAATTGACTACCTGGGACATGCCGAAAGCTGCGAATACAGTTCGAGTAATTTCAACCTATAGGTATCCTTAGCTGAAACAAAATCCAGGAATCCCTCCACCTTATGATCTAAAGTCTCACGCTAACGGTGATGAAATTCATCTGGATCAGACCTTTCACTAGTAGCGTTAAAGAACATGTTCGGTCATTTTCGTAGTACAACGTCCCATCTTCAATAAAAACATGGACTGCAAAAGGAAAAGAATTCACTGGTACGTATTCAAAGACGAGCCAAGAAATCAGTTACAGGGATGAAATTCAAACCCATTAGATTATAAGCATATAACTGGTGGCATTATTACGGCTTATAATACCCCAAACACTTATGGAATCGTTTAAAATGCCTACTTAGGATCAGTATCAATACAAAATCTAACGGAAATACTTAGAAATGAAAGGAGCAACACAGTAGAATTAACTGAAGAGATACCTTCTATTCTTTATGAGTACTCGAATTTTCAAGTCTCAACCAATCGAGGTGACTCAAGTGACTTCAGAGTGCTCTTTGAAGAGAATACTTTACACATTCTTATGGTCTCAGAACATTATTTCATTGTAATTTGCTAATATTCCTGATTCACTCAATTTATTACGTTGGTCCCTACCAAGAGTTATGAGTGATCCTATGTTATCAGACTGGAAAGCATATTAAACGAAAAGTTTAATTTCGATCACAATCATCTGAAGTAATTGAGTTTAGTGCAAACATTTGTTTGGATAACGCTACCCCAATGGCAGATTTTTGAATTCCTTGGCATGGTATGTTCTGTGTTTACCGAGTAAACGTTTTAGACTAAAATACGAGCATCAAAGCTACGTACTAAACCAGAGTCAGAACTCCAAAAGCAACTTGGGGAGCTTAAGACAGAGCTCGGCAATCTCCGTTTGTATCGGGTAACACGAGGAGCATCCTATCATGGAAAATTAAAAAAAATGTAGGTGTTTTTGTCTATCCAGCCATATTTATATCCCACTTACAGTCGAACCCTTAGGAAGTCCATTGCTCGTGTATACACAGTTATTCACCAAGCGCAGAAACTACGTCAACGTGAGGCATATCGTTCGAAGAAATATGTTCCGAAAGACCTGAGGCCGAAGAAAACTAGAGCCGTACGCAGAAGGCTCACTAAAAAAGAGCAGTCGATTCATTCTGCACGGTCTATGCGTAAGGCGCGTGCATTCCCTCCTCGTGTGTTTGCTGTTAAATGCTAAGTATTAAAATTTTTGATCAGGATTGGTCTTTTGGACTAAGTTTAATGTGAATTTATGGAGGTTTATAATTTTCGATGTGACTGATCCGTCAGATTCGGCTTTAGTTAACCTGAGGGTATGTTATTTGTGAATTATTTGGAACTTACTATGTTCAGGTGTAATACAGTTTCAGATTGTATTGACTAATAGTATCCTTATGAAAATGTAGTTTTCCAGAATAAGGAAATGCGATTCTTTTCTTTTCGATTACATACGTATTACTCAGAATATTCAGCTGACGAAGCTCATGCAATACAAGTCTATTGAAGCTCACTCTATGGTTAGATTTTGCTCCTAAATTAAGCTGTTCAGTATTACTATTACATGAACATTCTTTATAAGTTAGTAAGTGCCAAATATGTTGAGAATCGCATACAACTTGAACTAGTGACTATCTACGTTATTGTCCATTGAAGTGATGGTCGTGTAATGCAGCCAAATGTTACTTTAGTTCAGTCAAGTAAATGCTTCATATTGCCTGTGTTTTTGTTTCTGTTGAGCGACCGTAAGTATTCGTAGCTAATACTGAATAAACATATCTTGCTTGTCCAGCTAGTAAACTGTTTGATCACGATTTAAGTTTCTAGTGAGGCATTTGACCTACTTGACGTAGCTTTTGCTTATTATGCTGAGGTTTTGCTGACGTTCAGGATGGGCACTTTGCGTTGAAGAGAGCATCTGAGGAATTTTTCTGTCGTACATATCTAGTAACAGAATAGCAAAAACTTTAACATGATCAAAAGTATGTTGACAACTAATGGTTTTTGTCCTAGGACCTTAAGGTTTTGTTATGATTCATCTCTTTTATACAAGATTAATAGCATTATTAGTGTTCTCTGAATCATCTCAGTTAATGAAACAAACCGGATGATGTCATTATCTTAACGTAATCACAAGTCAATTGGTAATTATGTTACATGTACGTTCGGGCTTGTTTTTAATCGATCTGTATATCAAATGCTTCACCTTCTAGTAGTCTTGGGGATACATAATTTTTTACTTTAGCGGTATTTGTAATACTGTTTCTTTTATAATACTCGAAATGTTGTGGTTGGTAACAAATATACATTTTTTGGGGGGTGGGTTGGTTGGGGTAAATAATTATACATATATTCTATCGTAGTACTTTAGTGCCGATTCACTGTCTTACGAGTATGACCTCAAAGCTTGGCATTCGAAATAACTCAATTTAGTTGGACAAACAGTATAGTATTTCATCCTGTTGTTAATGGAGATAAGGAAGGTTATTTGACTTCCCATACTGTCTGAGTTGATACCTAGTTGAAGGTGGTCAGTCATTTGATGACGTAAATCTTCATTGACTGAGGTGGTTCAAATGTAGCGGGCACGTTTAACTATTGCCTTTCTGGACGAGCGTTCTTGTCGCGGTTAAAGGATTAAAAAGGGTTTTTGTGAACTCTGCTTTATCCACTGTGATCAGTCAGTCACCCACAACGTACGTAGAACTTCGTATATACGTACATCAATTCTGGGTGCCATCATTCAAGACGTATAATCCAATGAAGTGAATTATAAATAGAGAAAGCTCTTGTTTTCGCTCTATAAACTGGTGGCCAGGGCATATTGACTATTTGGATCAAGTTATCGAATCCGCTAACCCTTGTAAGCTGTACCAGACGCCGGCTCAGCAGTAGTAAAACAATCTGCAGTACGAATAAAACTCCGGTTGTCGTTTCGAAGTACACCTCGAATTCGAATTTACAGATTATTAAGAGACTTCAAATACTGAGGTTTCTAAGCTCCTGACAAACAGCATACTCATCATCCTTTGTGATAATTAGAGGCAAATTTCTTGTCAGGTTTATAGGAGCTGTCCAGAATAATTTGGCTTTTGAGACACCAATCAATAATGTCGGGATTTTGTTCGATGCACAGAGTTTCCCTTGGGGCGTGGTTTATATGGTCTGCTGTCCCGGCGATATCGACCAGACTGTTTTGTCCAACCCTTTCTTGTCGACTGGTCCACCTAGCAAGATGAAATACCACAATGAGCACCTAAAACGCTAGAAACCACCTAACCTAGATGACCTAAATTTTGCCATTCGGAGGATGTTGGTCGTTTAGCTTATGAACTCTTTGAGTACTTAGAAAGGTTTGTCTATCTCAGTGTTCTAATGTGCTGGAATAAGGTTGATAGTGCTTATTTTTAGATGGTTTGCATCACGTATCCAATATATCTTACGGTGGAAAGTCTACTTGCGATTGTTTCCAAATCATTGGTTGCCACCGTCTTCGCTGATTGCTAAAAACCCGCGACAAAACAGACTGCTTTTCATTCTTCTCGGTGTTGTACTGATCGTATTTTCACCCTCTGTTATTTTTAACATAAGCCAACAATCGTTGTTTCTTGACAATGGGGACGCCTTCGTTTTATTAGATCTTTTCTGAGATTGTTGCAAGAGGGTGTAGCTGAGAAGCTTATTAACATGACATGGCTTAAAATAGAATCCAGTAGCAAATACTAACTTTAGTGGGGAGACTATTAAAGACTGCCGCTCACTGTGGAGCACTGGTTTACATTCAGGTCATGCTCTGTTGCCAGTGCGTATTTGTTTGAGGCTTACTGGACGTAGGAAAGACACTGCAAGAAAATCTCTTCGGATTCTACCTAATGATAGCATTTCTAAGGACGTAATTCAGGAACAATTAGTAAAACGGTAAGGCAACAATGCAAGTAATGCCCACCCGGAAGCAGCTTGGAATAATATCCAAAAAGCTGTGGAAAAGCAGTGAAGAAGCCGTGGATTTCAGTAGTATCTGTCGAACAGACAGATGTTCGGATACTCATCCTGTCTTGCTCTGAGTACGGTTAAAGGCGGAATAGGCACAGGCTAGTAGAAATCTTACGCAGCGATCGTGACCAGTGGTGGATAGCGGAAGCAAGAGCAATGGTAAAGGCCGCGGTGATAGGCAACAGTAGACAAATATTCAAAACTATCGACGAAGCAGGAATCCGACTGTGAGTCTCAGAAAATGATCGGATGATAGGTAACGGCAAGCAACTATTCCGCTATTTTAAGGACACTGTTAGCGAAACTGTCTCAGCAAAGAATGGCCGTATCATTCATTCTCAACCCGGAGATCGGGTCGAAAGACAGAACACTAGGGATAAGTTCGATTGGCCTTCAGCCACACTTCAGTTACTCACGATCTCCATTTAACCTGAATGGCAAGTCGACGAAAGTCCCCCTGTAGTGAAGGAGAACACAGGTGAGGTCAACCAAATTGTATTTATCTCAGATTACAGAGTTAATTGGTAAAATAAGAAAACCATATCGTAAATCGTTAATTTGCAAAATATCAATCCATCATATCGAACTGGACTGTTCCTGTTGCAAACATCAGTCCATTGTCTGACATTTCATACAAATCCCATTGTGTTCCCGCTCTTCCTTTCTTGATCTTCCCCCATCTTCTGCTGCCAGACATTACGTTTTTTACTCGCGTCATATATTACTTATAAGTAGCGCGCACCACACCCCGACTTAATGGAGTTGGAAAGCTATAGGAAATCTGAAGCGAGGGTGAAAAGTAGGGCCTGACAGATTTGCCCCTGAGAGTTATGGGGATGGTGGTCCAGTTTTAGAGGTCAGATTGACTGAGCACTTAACCAGAATCTGGGAAGCGGACGCAATCCCGTATGACTGGTTGCAGTCACTGATTATCTCGATCCTCTTGTGACAAACACAAATGGATCAGTCTAACTAATGTCTTTCACAAAACGTAAGCTTCGGTAATACTTAGACGCCTTACTGGATCTTCTGAAAAGCAGACTCAGGAAAACCAGGCATATTTCAAACCTAGACGTGGCTGTATCGACCGGATATTCACTCTACGTTAGGTCCTAGAACACAGACACATTTCGGCGTCCGACAGTAGTTGACTTCCTGACCATTAAAGCGGCATTTGACTCAGTTGATCGTGGCAGGGTCTGTCATTTAAAGGTGTACCAGAGGAGTAGATTAAACTTATACAAGCTCTCTACTTGAACACCATTCATTGGAATTCATTACTTAAAGTGGTGTCCGTCAGTGCTGTCGACTTTGTCCATTCTTGTTTAATTTTTTCGTAAACCTGCTTCTAGATATATCATCATCTTCATATAAATTTTCAGAAGTGGACCTTCTACCAGCAGATCTATTGGTTGACTTAGTCAGTATATGCCGATGACAGTTATACTTGGTGAAGACGCTGATAAAATACAGAGTCTACTGACTACCCTAAGCAACAATGCAAGCTTGTTTGTGACGCGGTTTCCCCCATCGAAATGTAAAATGTCGCTTCAGGATTGGCTTGTTTCGGCACTTTAACTTGTGATAGGGAGTGAAGTAATCGAACGTGTAGACCGCCTCAATTATCTGGGGAGTCTCACCAGTGCTGATGGCCTGGTGTGTGACGAAAACTTAGCACGAATGCAGGAGCGTGGATTGGCTTTAGCCAACTTGCATCACGTATGGTGTAGGCGTGATGTCCGTTTGCTAACCAAAGAATAAGTGTACTGCGCATCAGTTCTCTCCGTCCTACTATATAGCTGTGGAACATGGCTGGTAAGATTAGAGTATATTCGTAGGTTACTGGTTTTCGATCAAAGGCGTCTCTGAAGACTCTCGTTTATTTTTGGGACTATCGAGCAGTCTATGCAATTGTTAGGAATCGGGTACTTGGTAAGGATGGCAAATCAATTGATGAAGCATTGAAACTTCATCATTTGAAGTGGCTGGGACATGTGGTACGAATGACAAAACACCGACTGCAGTTTTGAGGCAGTTGGAAGAGAGCTAAGGGCGGCCAAATTAAAACATGGCACAAACCATGGAGTCACTGGCAGGTGTAGACTACATAATTGGGGTCTGCGAGATGATAATAATCGATGGTTAGAGATCTTGAATGAGTATGTCGCAGGTGCATTCATTCTGTGTCCTCTCAAATCTAAAACTTCT